CTCTGGCGTCTCGCGTGCCCATATTTTCGTCATCTCGCACCCCCCCCCTCCCGCCGTTGTCTTTTTTCACATCCGCTAATACATATCCGATCGACTCGATGCACACGCCGATCTGGCACGTGGCCGAAGTCCGGCTTCGATCTTGATACTCAATTAAACGTGGAGAACCGTCTAGCTAACGATCCGAGGCGAACGTGATTTCTCGGAATTTTTTCTGGGAAAATTGGTAGACGTTTTTCCGAAACGAGTATCTTACTTAATGGTGCATATGCTATGCAACTAGGACGAATTTTTTCATCGTGAAATCTTTTCGTTGGCTGTTGCCGTTGTTCAAATGTTGCATTGTCCTCGGCGTACCTCGTTTCTAAAATATTCGGACAATTCAGCAAATGAAAGCAAGGGTCTCGCCTATTATTAGATCGTCGATTTTATGCATTTATTGTAAAAATTAGTAGATGAAATTTAAAATATCAGGAAAATTCTCAAAATTTAACATTGTTTACGTATTGTCTTCATCTTATTAAATTGGTTAAGGAAAGAAGGGAACTTCAGTTTGGCTCTTGTTTACTGCAGTCGGTAAAGAAAATTTTTATTTTGCATAGAGATCCGCGCTCTATTAATGTCCCGTTCATGGTTCCTCTCCTCTACTTCATCAATTTGTTCAGAATCTTCATCGCGAGTTAGACTCGTAATTACAAGTGGTTAATTTTCCGAGAATGGTGTTGCCAAATGAAGCGAGGAATAATTCCGATCGCTATTATCCCAAGCTGGTAGTAAAATTGCAGATAAATTTTCAGTCTTCCTACGACGGATGTGTCGCCGGTAACCTTTAGCCTTAAGCCACAACACCCTTTGAAATTTGCACCAGGGTGGTCAGCATTCGTAGCCGTTCCTCTTCACCATAGGAGAAAGTTCATTGATAGATTAGAGGACCCCATGCCGGCAGAGGTTTCCACGAGATTTCGAGCGATCCAGCGGCATCGGCTGCTCGTCGAACTTCTTTGTGGTCTTGTCAGGATAAAGGGTGGCCTGAAAGGGGAGGAGGAGCGAAGCGCGGGCCTAAATATAGCTCGTTAGAGGTAGAGAAAATCGATTTATACATAAAATAAGTATTCGCGTCTATACTTAGGTCCCGCCCTCCTAACGCGAGCCACTCGATTAAGATGCCTTCTACCATAAAATTGTTCGACCTCGGTTGCAGCGTCGAGAGTGGATAAAAAACAGACCTGCCGAGGAAATACTTTGTGCAGGCTCTCGCAAAAAAGTAATTTAATATTCGATAATTAAAACTCCCCGGGAACACCGCGCGGCGCGCAACGGTACCATAAATCTTGCGTTATCCTTCCTGCTTAAAGGAAGCGGACAAAGCGTGGGTCTCGTTAGCGGAACCGCTGTGATCCGCATTATCGGATGACATNCTCTGGCGTCTCGCGTGCCCATATTTTCGTCATCTCGCACCCCCCCCCTCCCGCCGTTGTCTTTTTTCACATCCGCTAATACATATCCGATCGACTCGATGCACACGCCGATCTGGCACGTGGCCGAAGTCCGGCTTCGATCTTGATACTCAATTAAACGTGGAGAACCGTCTAGCTAACGATCCGAGGCGAACGTGATTTCTCGGAATTTTTTCTGGGAAAATTGGTNCTCTGGCGTCTCGCGTGCCCATATTTTCGTCATCTCGCACCCCCCCCCTCCCGCCGTTGTCTTTTTTCACATCCGCTAATACATATCCGATCGACTCGATGCACACGCCGATCTGGCACGTGGCCGAAGTCCGGCTTCGATCTTGATACTCAATTAAACGTGGAGAACCGTCTAGCTAACGATCCGAGGCGAACGTGATTTCTCGGAATTTTTTCTGGGAAAATTGGTAGACGTTTTTCCGAAACGAGTATCTTACTTAATGGTGCATATGCTATGCAACTAGGACGAATTTTTTCATCGTGAAATCTTTTCGTTGGCTGTTGCCGTTGTTCAAATGTTGCATTGTCCTCGGCGTACCTCGTTTCTAAAATATTCGGACAATTCAGCAAATGAAAGCAAGGGTCTCGCCTATTATTAGATCGTCGATTTTATGCATTTATTGTAAAAATTAGTAGATGAAATTTAAAATATCAGGAAAATTCTCAAAATTTAACATTGTTTACGTATTGTCTTCATCTTATTAAATTGGTTAAGGAAAGAAGGGAACTTCAGTTTGGCTCTTGTTTACTGCAGTCGGTAAAGAAAATTTTTATTTTGCATAGAGATCCGCGCTCTATTAATGTCCCGTTCATGGTTCCTCTCCTCTACTTCATCAATTTGTTCAGAATCTTCATCGCGAGTTAGACTCGTAATTACAAGTGGTTAATTTTCCGAGAATGGTGTTGCCAAATGAAGCGAGGAATAATTCCGATCGCTATTATCCCAAGCTGGTAGTAAAATTGCAGATAAATTTTCAGTCTTCCTACGACGGATGTGTCGCCGGTAACCTTTAGCCTTAAGCCACAACACCCTTTGAAATTTGCACCAGGGTGGTCAGCATTCGTAGCCGTTCCTCTTCACCATAGGAGAAAGTTCATTGATAGATTAGAGGACCCCATGCCGGCAGAGGTTTCCACGAGATTTCGAGCGATCCAGCGGCATCGGCTGCTCGTCGAACTTCTTTGTGGTCTTGTCAGGATAAAGGGTGGCCTGAAAGGGGAGGAGGAGCGAAGCGCGGGCCTAAATATAGCTCGTTAGAGGTAGAGAAAATCGATTTATACATAAAATAAGTATTCGCGTCTATACTTAGGTCCCGCCCTCCTAACGCGAGCCACTCGATTAAGATGCCTTCTACCATAAAATTGTTCGACCTCGGTTGCAGCGTCGAGAGTGGATAAAAAACAGACCTGCCGAGGAAATACTTTGTGCAGGCTCTCGCAAAAAAGTAATTTAATATTCGATAATTAAAACTCCCCGGGAACACCGCGCGGCGCGCAACGGTACCATAAATCTTGCGTTATCCTTCCTGCTTAAAGGAAGCGGACAAAGCGTGGGTCTCGTTAGCGGAACCGCTGTGATCCGCATTATCGGATGACATCGTCCATTCTTCCTCGAGCATATTGAAGCAATAATTCGAGGAACAGTACCAGAACGCGACGGTATTGCGAGAAAATGTTAATTCCGAAGCGTTCATCTCTCTTCAACAATGTAAAATAAGTTCTTTCTGACGCACGAGGATCGTAAAGTTTCATTAGCACGGTGATTTATACGAGATCAATATTTTCCGGAGCAGTGCTCGAAAGAAGGAATCGAGTTGAAATTTGTTTCTCGCTTGACTAATTTCGATGAGTCGAGGAACAATGCGGATCTTCGATGCTTTTGGAACTTCGATAACTTGTTGCACAAGATTGCCAATTCTGTCGAGTCGCGATAAAGGACACCACAAAATATATTCATTTTGATTCCTTTTTCTTTATTATTTTGTTGTAAATTATTCGAATACAATCCTAGAATTAACATTCGCGTGAACGAACAGTTCCGTGAAACTGCGTGAACAATCGAGACAAGTTTTTCTTTAGTAATCTGGATAATACTGTGTGTTGGAAATGAATCATTTAACAGACGTAGGATTGACAATTTGCCAAACGCAGAATTTTCATCGAAGTTAAAACTGTTCTTCTAAACAAGTAATAGTAAATTCAGCCGCAAGAGATTCTTAATTTCGAGACATTTGACATTTTTTTCATCGTAGCATTTTTTTTACATTGAAAAAGAAGACAAAGACGGGAAAGCTAATTGGAACAGTCTTTTCACAATATTTTATTTATACAAAGACGTTTATCACCGTTGCATTTATACGCGGTACACACAGAGCCTACGATTTTTGTGCAATCGGTGCAATCTAACCCCGAATACTATTTTCAGCAGTGATCTTATACATTTATGACAAAAATGTGCAGCTAAAATATATAATTGTGAAGACATAAGAAGAATTTAATAATATTGTTACAATATTTCCAACTTATCAAAATTATCGAAAGGAACAATTTATTTGTATTTAATTTCTGTTTCTCGCAATCGCCTTGGACAATATTTATTTTGCATAAAGATCTGCAGTCTAATAATTACTAGAATACAGATTTAATGCATTTTTGGTAAAGTTGGGTAGTTCTAATCTAAAATAGTTGAAATGATTAAAGAAAGAATAAACTTGCTATTTAGTCTCAATCGCAGTCTAGTAATCAGTACAAGAGTAAATGTTCGTTCACTGTCTCTAAAAGAGTTCACCAAGGTTTAAAATTTACTGGATTATTTCTTCCTGGGGATCTTCTGTTTGCTCTCCTTGCCCCTGAAGATCCCTGGATCGATGACGTTGGTGGGCCCGTTGTTCCACATGGCGGTGGAGATGGTCTCGGTGGGATCGATAGTGGATGGCAGCAGGTGCGGACCGACGAGAAAATAGACCTGCTCGACCCAGGTGGGCAGGCTGAGCCCGGTGACGCAGCACTGCCACAAGGGCAGACCTAGATGGACCAGCATCATCCGGAAGTAGACGGTGAAAGTATCGGCCAGATGGTACCATCGATCCGTGTCCTCGCGATGCAGCCAGATGCTCGGGCTCTCTTGGTCCGGCTTCGCCCTGTACACCAGATAGACCTTCGCCTTTCCGCCCTGCGGGTAGCACTGACTAATCTCGAACATCTTGCAACCCCGCGGGTTCTCCGCCGAGGGCGAAACCGCGTTCTCAAGGTCCACGGTGCTCTTCGAGTCGACCTCTGCTCCCGCATCGGAGGACTCCGACTTGGAACAGTCCGGTTGCGGTTCCTTGCTGGCGGAATACCGTTTCAGAGAGGAGAAACTGCTTATTTCCATGCGGCCCACCGAGAACTCCTCGCCTGTTGACATGTGGTCAGGCGAAACGTAGATTAGGATAATAATACAGCAGTTATAGGAGAATTTTTGGAAATGTCTGATTCAAGGACAGTTATCAAAACTAATTTTGAGAGAGTCTTGGTCAGATTTATTTTGGTATGGTGACGGATCAAAAGAGATGATACAGGTAAAACGACTAGCTTAGTTGGATTTTGGGTTCAAATAGAAGATAGAGTAGACGATTATTCCGGTTACTAGGGAACTCTATGCGATGTGTTTTAAAGCGTCATCGAATCCAGCCCGATCTAATTCCAAAAATAAAAGAACAGGCGGAACAAAAAAAAGAAATTTTTTCTTTAAAAAGAAAAAGAAGATTGTGGAAATAAAGAAATAATGATCTTAAAGCTAGGGAAACTCAACTGAATAAAACCTTGCGAATCTGAAATTACTGGAATTGAATAATAAAGTGAGAACATATCTTCAGTGATAAATAATGAACGCGAATATAAAATCTTCAGTAAATAATCTAGGTTCATTATAAAATTTCTGCAAGAAATGATTTATTTTTCGAGAAAGAAGAGTTCTAGCATTGCTGCGAAATCAATCATACGGCAACTATTATGCACTTGCTGGATACCTCTCCTGGCAGCTTCGAATCTCGGCGGTTTTGCCGGGACAGGCGACGAAGAGTATCAAGTCGAAATAATAGGCAGAGGTTCGAAGGTACGGAGATCCAAAGGGTTAGAGGTGGAATCCGGGGGAAAAGGATCGTCGAGAGGGTCTCTCGGATAATTCTCCGGAGAGTAATACCTGCTATCTCGAGGTTCCAAAGAAGCTGGAAACCGTCGATCGAGAGGTAGAAGTTCCTAAGATCTTCGGGGAGCACGCAACAATGCCGTTGTTCCCAGTTGGCGATGGCGGTGGCCTCGCATCCGTTCCTCCTATCGACTCGCACGTTCTTCACGTACGGCACGTTCTCGAGGACCTTCACCACGCCCAGCGTGAGGTTCTCGTAGAACGCGTCCTCGGTAACGACGTCCACGAAAAAAGACATTGGCACCACTTTATCTTCGCACCCGCTTCTAACGGTGTCCCCGGATTTGCATTCGCTCGATCGGCAACCCCGTCGCGCCCCCTCCTCTTGTTCTCGAATTAAGCCCCGGCTGACACTGGAGATGTTGCCTTGGACATCCCATAAAACTCGAAAACTTTTAACGAATCGCGATGATTTTTCGAACATTTGTATAAAATGAAAGGAGGACATGAACAAGAAGGAGTTCACAAGCAAATGTAAGTTATATTGCTTATGATTTGCAAATTCTGTATTTTTACCATGAGATGTATTTGAAATTTATTCCAGTTCTTGCGAAACGATCTATGGGAAAGGGAATTGCAGAGAAATATTTTTAATCTGATTTATTCTGCAGCGAGAGTTCATCGAATCGAATATGTACTTGGCAAGCAGAGAGACTGAACGATGTATATTCATGCGATACAGTAAATAACGCGAGTCGACTACATTTTTATATGCGCAATGGAAGAGCCTTTTATATCTATCACTAATTATTTCCGGACCTACTCATTTTCGCAATGAACACCGCACATTTTATTTCCACTCTGACGCAGCTGCTATTAAAAACGAACTGGACACTCGTTTGAGGGCTTATGCAACAGCAGGGGGGGGGGGGAGGTTCAATACCTACACTGAAAGCGAAACAGCCTTTTCAGGTCAGGTCGACCCGAATAAGGATTAATTCAATAAGATCATCTTCCCAAGCGAGATTCTTAAGGAGTAAAGAACACTCAAATATCTTTCAACCTTAGCGCACTCATCAGAACGAAAATCGAGAAATGTACTTCCGTAGACAAAATTGAATAGGATTTTTCTATAATTGTAGAGCTTGGAAATCATGTTTTAAATTACAATTCCGGAAGAAATGATTAGATTACTTTACTTACGGTAAATCACATTGGTTGCCAATTAAAATTACTAGATTCATTAAAAAGATTCCTTAAAATTGTATACTTCTCTGAACCCTCCATAATGCCGCGCAACTCTAAAGATGTGTACTTGTAATTCTATTTGTAGCTTTCCTTTTATTTAGTTATTAGAATTTTACATTAGTCTAGTGTCACTTTTAAATAATTTCTTCATAATAGTTTTACAGATTTCTCAACTTCAATCACGTTACACACGTTATACCTTTGTTGTTATACAGATTTTACCTTGAAAAATTGCGTTGTGGAGGGTTAAAAGATACAAGATAATTGATACTAGGTACAATGTAGATTAGACGATCTTACGAATCTTTCATCTCCTGAAAATCGAATCCTCTTCTCCACGATGTTGAGAATTCGGTCGAAAATTCGCGAGCAGAGGTTGAGTCCGTTGGATCCTACGAATCGAGGGCAGTCGGCCCAGGTGTGACTGGTTCAGCCGGTTGTTGATCGCCATGGTGACCGAATATCAAACCGAAGACCGGCGTATCCTCTGGCCAGGGGGTTGTATCGAACGGTTGCGCAGGTTCGGTCGTACGACAGGTGTGGGAGACCGTGCAGGTGGGTTAATTGTTATACATGCACAGGGGAGTTCCCTTTCAGCGGTACCCCGGCAATTTCGAATCGAGATAATCCCATAGAATTTCGTAATGTGTATTACCAACTATCAATTGTGGCTGACAAAAAGCTACTGCGTTCCCTTTGCATACATCATCGTTCTCCCTTCCTTTTTTATTAATGCCGGTGTCCCTTTTCTGAAACGTTTTCCACCCTCGCGCGCTGAAGTGCCCTCTTGTTTCCCGTTTTACGCTGCAAAATTTTTCTACGCGTCTCCAGCTTGTGAAGTTTTGTACGTAAACAGAAAAACGTAGTTAAATTGTTAAAAAAAATCTCAATAGAACTGTTGCTTAAAATTTGAAAAAAAGCGAAGCAATAAACGATCCGTTAAAATATTAACAGGTCATGTAAATATGTTACGCTTGTCGCGAGTGTTTCAAAGCAATGTGAAAAAAATTTTCCAAATTTTCCAGAGGATGCAAATGCGTAACGGTGGTGAAAATTGACTTTTACAGGAGATCTTCTTGCCCCTTTGCACTCTGGGCATTTTGATCGTGCTGAAAGTGTTACCCCCGAACCCGAATTACCCCGCGATGATGACGCAGAGGCAAGAGGGTGGTCTGTTCGAGGCGTTCAATGGATACAAGAACAACACGATTGCCGTTGTTCCAAACTCGACAGAAACTTTGGTACGTATTTGCGGATCGTTTTATGCTCTTCTTCCGGATCATGGTACTCGAATGGTTCCCCTAATCGTCCGTTCGATTTCAGACCTTCTTGAATTCGATGAATACCCTGTGGTTGTCGATGTGGGATCATCCTGGCAAGCTACCCCTGAATTTCATAGTGTTCGACACGAAGGACGACCTGCAGGCTGCATACTGGAGAGATCCCTACAGTATACCTCTAGCCGTGATCTTCGAGGATTCGCAGCCTATATCTCAGCGGCTTTTGTAAGATAATAGTAGAATATTACTGTAATCAGAAAAGGATGACGCTGATGCGGAGTCTTATGTTGATAATCAAAATGTTTTCTTCAACATGTTTGAGGAAGTCAATGGTTCCCAAGAACACAATTCGAGTTATACGTATACATATTATAAGTAGACTGCAGAAAACAGTAGCTTAATAGAAATGTGTTTCCTTCTTTGACCAGTTTAGTCATTATTTTGCCTTTCATTTGCTCATTTTTGTTATAAGTGAATAAAATTACATATGTCCACAGATTATGCATCAAGACTTGGAACTTGGATAATTAAGCTTCACATGTTAGCTAAATTCTAATTGCGCTTTTATGTTACGTTCTAGGTATGAGATAAGAACTAATCCATTATACACGAATCCACCCTCACCGACCGAACTGTATTCCGCCTCAATTAACTGTCGAAAGGACACCAGCCATTGGATAGGAGGCGCATTGTCGATAGAGACTGGTGGATCATGTCCCGTGAATAATTATCTGCACTCTGGATTCTTGGCGTTGCAGTTGATAATGGATATTACAAAGATAAGAGTATGTACCACGATATTTATTCTTATCCAGTGTTATTGTAGTTTGTCATCCCAGAGGGATTTTTAAAAAAGCTTACCATCTTGGCCTTGAAGCTTTACATTTACTTCGTACGTACACCAAAAAAAATTGTAAGATATTAATGGAATCGTGTGTGTTGGTAATTTACAGCTAGACACAGGGAACACAGATGTAACCGTGCCGGATGTTCAGCTGGAAATGTTCCCAAAGGAAGCTTTCACTGCAGGTAACTATAGAGGACATTCTACAAACAATTGATTGTTATTTCTGCACGTTGAGTAACGAAAGCTATCTGATTAATGCTAGAAGGAACATAGTAGATTAACAAAGATAGAAGAAAAGCAATAGGTTTAGGAATGAAATTTATACTTGAAGAATATGTTTTCTTTGTTTCGTGGGCACACTTCTAAGAATATCTTTTATTTAGACTGGATGCTGGCCTTTAGAGTTGTTATACCTCTCTGTATGGTACTGGCTATCTCACAATTCGTCACTTACCTCCTGATCCTGATAGTCGGTGAAAAGGAGAAAAAGATCAAGGAAGGAATGAAGATAATGGGCCTAAGAGATTCTGTCTTTTGGTAGGTTTATGGTAGAGTGTGATTGAGAGACTGATAGATTTTTTCTTTTTCCAATGAGCATGCATGTTTCGACGAATATGTATTTTGCATGAATTGCTAGACAAAAGTTTACATGGAAAGTTGATGATGTTTGTGGATAAGTAAAAACGCTATTCTCTTTTTCGTTACAGGTTGTCATGGTTCATTATCTACAGTGTTTTCGTCTTGCTACTTTCTGTCGTTGGGGTCATACTACTTTTTACACTTCAGATGTTCCAACATACACACTTTTTACCTATATTCCTTTTAGTAGTGCTCTACAGTTTCTCCATAATCATGTTTGCTTTCATGATAACCCCTTTCTTTGACAAATCACGGGTGAGCATCGATTAGACGAACAAGTTGCAAACAAATTAGTTAACCAGTTCAAGTCTTAACTCAGCATTCCAATTTCTAGACCGCCGGTGTGCTAGGCAATTTTGCTGTCGCGATACTAAGCCTCATGTACTTCATTCAAGTTTTCGTAAACGACTCCAGTTCCATTTACTTTTGGGTGGTATCGCTCCTCAGTCCAACAGGCGTTGCTTTAGCAATGGATAAGGTTTGTATTGAAACCGAATCTGTTTCAATATTAAACAAAATAATCGTTACTAATACCGTGTGGCTATTTCTCCAGGCTCTCGTATTGGACCTACAAGGAGAAGGAGTTAACTTCGATAATCTTTGGTCTGGTCCCGGCATACCATTTGGCGGGAGTCTTATTATGATGACCTTAGACATCTTTTTGTATGCTTGTTTAGCTTATTACTTCGACTGCGTCGTACCTAGTAAGTATACCCATTTATTCTTTGTTTAATCGTTATCAATGATAACATAATTAAATTAACCCTAGGCGAATATGGAGTTAAAAGAAATCCCTGGTTCTGCTTCTTGCCGGGCTATTGGTGCCAAAGGAAAACTCCACGGGTGGGTTCACAGTACGAAAAGGAGCAGGAGAGAAAAAGTAGAGGGAACCTTGGTTTACAGTCGTACTTGCAGGTACCGTCATCGAATGGCGAATCAAATTCTTTCATACCGGGTGAGGAAACCAACCGTGACGTCGAACCGGTGGTAAGGGAGATGAAAGGTCGCGAAGCCATTAGGATAGTCGACCTTTACAAGTCCTACCAAAAATGTCGTAAACCAGAGATTAAAGCTGTAAATGGCATCAATCTGACGATCTATGAAGGACAAATAACCGCGATACTCGGTCACAACGGGGCTGGCAAGACAAGCCTCTTTAACATACTGACTGGCTTAACCGCACCAACTGCTGGTACCGCTTTAATTTTCGGCTATGATGTTAGGGATTTCCAGGACATGCAAATAATCAGAAGTATGACTGGTGTTTGTCCGCAACATGACATTCTTTTCGATCTCTTAACTCCTCGGGAGCACCTCGAATTCTTTGCCGCTGTACGAGGAATTCCTAGATCAATGATAGAACATGAGGTACGCTCTCTTGATATTCTTCTAACTACATTTATGTAGACATAACGTCACAATACATCTTATAATCGTTGCTAGGTGAAGAAAACTTTAAAAGACATTGACCTGTCCGAGAAAGCGGATACCTTTGCAAAGTATTTAAGCGGTGGTCAGAAGAGGAAATTGTCCGTAGGTATCGCCATTATCGGTGATCCAAAAATTATCATCCTCGATGAACCCACCGCCGGAGTGGATCCTTACTCTAGAAGACAGATGTGGTCCTTCCTGCAGTCTAGACGTCATGGCAAAGTAATATTGTTGACCACTCATTTCATGGACGAAGCTGATATATTAGCGGACAGGAAAGCAGTGATCAGTAAAGGGAAATTGCGATGCTGCGGTAGTTCTTTATTCTTGAAGAATAAATTTGGCATCGGGTATCATTTAACGTAAGTCTAGCGACATTGAAAATAATAGAACGTATGTTTCGTTTGGTATGTTTAAATAGATAATAAAAATTGCTACAGGTTGGTGCTCGAGGGAAATGCAAGAGAGCCCGCCATTAACAGACTGGTAATTTCTCACGTGTCGAAGGCTGAGAAAGCGAGACGCCACGGTCGAGAATTGAGCTTCATTTTGCCTCATAATTCCGTGGAGAATTTCGCGCCACTTTTTTCAGCCATAGAACACGAGATCAAGACCAGGGCGAGTAGATTAGGTATCAATAGCTACGGAGTGTCGATGACTACTCTGGAAGAAGTATTTCTCCACCTAGAGAAAGACGAGGGCACAGAGTGCACTATGGATAATTTATCCAAGAAAATGGTGCGCAATCGTGCATTAAGCAGATCGCTGTCGTTGCAGTCTAAGAGCACGTCCTATCAAAGTTTGCAGAACGAAGGCGTCACTGTCCAGAATGACAGCCAAGCGAAAGGTAAATTCATTTTAGTATATATGCAATACTAATCAACTGTTGGATATGAATTTGTTTCCGCCATTTTCAGGGGAGTTACCAGACGGCATCCATAACGATAGAAATCCCCCCGTTCTCGGCCTCGGATTAGACCCCATAAAGATCCGGCCTAACTTCCTACAAACCCTGTACGCTATGCTTCGCCTAAGGATACTCAGGCTCTTCAGGAACATGCAGTTTTTGTACTTCACCATCGTTGTGCCTCTTTTGTTAGTTGCTCTTGGTCTGCATTTGAACAGCATTCAAACTGTCGAGGTCAAGATGCAATCTCTGAAATTGAACACTGGTATGTCATATCGCTTTTGTAATCTATCAGGACATTTAACAGATTTTGTAAGATCCAAGTCGCCATGTTTTCTTACTCGATAGATACCTACGGCAATGAGACCAAACTTTTGTACGTCAACAATACCGATCACGATATCACGGCTTTGATCGATGGGATAGGTCAGGATGTCAGATACATTGAAGAATACGATGGGGATTTCGCCAATTTATTAAAAGTCGCACCTCACGCGGCTGTCTTCAGTGTTAACGAGTACAGCAAATACAAAATTAACTTGACCGTCGCTTATAATGACACTATGCAACATTCTTTACCGATTTTAATAAACCTGCTGTCCAACACCTATCATAGGTATGACTGTGTATTTTCAAATACGTTGTGAACATTCTAAAAGAGCTCTTGACACTTGAAATTTATTACTCTTGACTAGGTTGCTCTTGGGTAAGGAGAAATTAGAGTCAATAAGGGTTAAAACCCATCCCTTCCAACAAACGTCCCAACCACAAGAGTTTAACATCGGTACGGGCAGCACTGCTTTATTCATTGGGATGAATTTTGTCCTGTTACCAATCATTCTAGTCGTGGATATGGTCTACGATCGGGAAGTAAGATTAATTAATATATGTATTAACTGTGCTATGTGTCGGCCGTATCAATATATGTTTTTAATGTTTAACGTTGTTTATTCGTAGATAAAAGCGAAAAATCAACTTCGCGTAAATGGTCTGTCGTTTTCGATATACTTTCTGACCTACTTTATTGTACTTGTCGGCCTGATGACGTTCATCTGTCTCTGCATACTCGGCATCATATTCCTCTTCGATGTGCCTTCGCTTCAAGAGATACCAGCAATCATCACCCTCAGCGGTCTGTTAATGCTCTATTGCCCAGCATCCGTGCTCTTCTCCACGTGTCTCAGCTACATGTTCGACAAAATGGATTCTGCACAAAGTATTCTACCCAATATTGCCACCTTATTTGGGGCCATACCCTCTGTACTAGTTATGAGTCTTGACATGCTGGGTGTTAGTAAGTAATAATACTGACTAATTTATTTTACACTTAATGTTTTGTAACATTAGTAGTCGGAATGTTCGCAATACTCAAACGTGACTCGATGATTGGTTTCCTGATAACGTTGATTGATCTTCCAGGTGCAGCGTTCGTTCTGCACGTGATCTTCTCTTTAATAAACACATTATACGTGCCATATGCTGCTGTGTATTATGTCGGACGAGTCCACCTCATGTGCTCCATCAACGCCGCTTGCCACCATCTAACCATGTCTGATTATCTAACTACAGAAATAATTATAATGGCCTTTGGGGTGCTTCTGCACTGCCCGGTGTGGTTCTTTATACTTTTGATATTGGATACCAAAAAGAGTGGTGGCAATGTAAGAGACATTTTCAAGCATTTCCTGGTTAGTATCACTACTTTACTTCCTGTATTTTGTAAACTTTTAGCAAATCATTGAATACTATTTCTTGCATTCATAGCGTAATGGTGGCTCTGTGGGCGAGGAAATAATGGAAAATGCGGATATTGGAGAACACGAGGATGCTGACGTTAAAGCCGAGAGGCAAAAAGTTTTTAATCTCATTACTTCGTCATCTGTTCAAGAACCACCTGTAGTTCTAGTGCAGGTATGAATTTCAAGGGATCATTGAAATTCTTTATTTCTGTAACTGAATTGACATTGTTCATTCCACAGAACCTCAGAAAGGAGTACCGATACAGAGAATTAGGTTCCTGTAGTTGCTGCTCCAAACAAGACGAAGAAGCCAGTCAAGTACAACGAAAAGTTGCTGTAAGAAATCTCTCACTAGCGGTCGAGCCGGGAGAGGTATTTGGTTTGTTAGGCCACAATGGTGCTGGCAAAACCACGACAATGAAGATTGTCATAGCGGAGGAAGCGGCCACACGAGGTAGAGTACATATTGGTGGTCACAACATCAACTCCAATATGTCAGAGGCTTTCAGACAGATGGGCTACTGTCCTCAACACGATGCTCAGTGGAAAAATATCACTGTCAGGGAACACTTAGAATGTTACGCTGCCATACGTGGTGTACCATGGGGAGACATCGGCAGGTACTGTACTTTTTACCTTACCGGTTAGAGATCATTTTTTAACGACGTCTATAAAGATAAGAAAACTGTAAAGTTGAGTTGTATTTTTTTTTTATAGAATTGTAGATCTGTATCTGTCCGGATTACAAATTCACGAACACGCGGACAAACAGACCCAGGAATGCTCCGGAGGAACTAAAAGAAAACTCAGTTTCGCTATGGCAATGATAGGCGGTCCAAAAGTCGTTTTAATGGACGAACCCAGCACAGGGATGGATCCTAGGTCGAAAAGGTTCCTATGGGATACAATTCTAGCCAGTTTTCAGGTATCTGTCAAAATATAATACTTTCTATCATCGTTGAACGATTTAGCCGGGTCATGATAGTAAATCGGTTTATTGTAGGGTGGTAGGGGAGCAATTTTGACGACTCATTCAATGGAGGAAGCCGATGCTCTGTGTTCGAAAGTGGGTATAATGGTGAAGGGAGAACTAAGGTGTATTGGCTCTACCCAACATTTGAAGAATCTCTACGGTGCTGGATACACCCTTGAGATAAAACTCCAGGGCGGTGATTGTACACCTACGACACCATCTGGCGACAGGATTAATAGTTTGAAAGAATTCGTTTCCAGCCTGTTCTCAGACGCCACCCTCGAGGAGAGTTTCGCTGACAGATTAGTTTTTGGTGTTCCCCAACAAGCAGTTAACTCGCTGGCCGAGTGCTTTATGCAGTTGGAGAAAGGTAGGTAATAGTACTATATACCTATACCTCAAAATTCGAAACAATTTTTTGTTTTAATTAACGACATTTAATCATTTAGCAAAACTCGAACTGGACATCGAAGAGTACAGTTTCAGTCAGACCACTCTGGAACAAGTATTCCTAAAATTTTCTCATTACGACGAATCAAACTCGGGAGAATGATGACTCACAACGAGAGTGTATATTCTGGTGTGTTGCATAGTGAAATATTCATGGGACCGTTCAAGTGTGAATAAGTTAAGAATAGTGATACGTTCGTTAACGTTCCGATGTGAATACTACGAAGAATCGACAAAAACAACATACTTAAGCATCAGGAACATTCTATAGTAACAATGAAATCTCACATTACCAGTCAGTGCAGATTGTGAAGTTATCCCTGTTTTAATCCTGATGAAAACTATAAGTGGGAAAATAAAATCGTACTATTTTTATGGTACACGACGTTCGACCTAATATTGGGAGAAAACAGACAAAACAGAGATAGGGTGAGAAAAAAGAGGTAGACACTATATCGTTTCTTTTTTCGTACCAATGTTCTGTATACTGTTATGTTCGCCAGAATTGCGCAGTGACTTCCTGAAGTGGTTATGTCGTGAGATATAAAATAAACATACATATGAAATTAATGACTTGTAAATAGTGGAGACTATAAACAATTTATCCTACTGTCAGCAGAGGTGATCGTCGTAATAGTATCGACACTAATAATTTTCGAATTATATCGTAAACTAGTGTATTTTTTCGATTCCTACGAATAGGTCTCGCGATTAATATTGCTGTGGAATTGGAACGTTCATTATCATCGATTATAAGTATAGAATCTTCCGTTGTCAAAGAAGACAAATCATAAGGATCCACAGATTGGCATTAAATTCTTTTTAAACATAGGCAATTCCTAGGAATTGTCTGTTTACTACATTGATAAATGTATATCCTGTACAGGATTAATTGTCTAGCGACATTTATAATTGCTCGAGTTAACAACGAGCGTTGTTGATGCAACAACACACTGTTGTTTGATAAAGAGACGCCGATTGTATCCAAACGATCTGGATGTAAATTCGACGTGACTTAATTTGTGCGTATAATATAGCACTTAGCATGTATTTATAAATATTTCTCCATTTCGCTTGTGGTCTTTACCGAAGCCTTTCGAATAACGAAAAACAAACATAATAGGTTGTCAACCTTGCCTCGATAGCGCATAAGAACATGATAAATTTGTCGCGAAAATTTTTTTGATCCTCCAATTAAGAAGGATAAAGTGACCGATATATTCGATAAAAATACTTTGTAAGATAATTTTGACAGCGTACGAATTCAAATTCACGGCAGTGTTTCTGGTCATTTCTTTCTCACTATACACATTTTTATTGGAAGATCTTTCTTGCTCCTTTCATCCGATAATCTTGTATTACACCTACACAATACAAAATTGCTCTACCACTGAAAACATTGGCATTCACAAATAGATCAGGAAAGAATAAGAAATCCAAGTATTCTAGCATTCAATTAATTTAAATATTACCGAGAGAGTTTGGTATGTAGTTAAGCGATCTTCCTACATTAAAGAGATTCATTTATTTTGAATGCATTCTCGTTTTTGCGATATTACGAAGTTGATCAAGATGCAAAAATTAAGGAACATTGTTAAAGAGTAAGGTGGATTTTAAAATTAGAGAAAATTTTGCCTTATGATTTGCTTTAGGAAAAATCCGTTCGCGAAAAACAGTAGTGGGAAGATCCCTTAACGTTAGCACTAAGGAAAGAGTGAAATAAAAACTCATAAAAAGGAAGCTTTAGTCCATATAGAAAAGAAAAAAAATGTTCTTAACTTTCCACAGTGAGAGATTTTCATTCTTAGATACCTAAATGCATACATTTGATCTTCTGCAATGTTAGAATTCCAAAAAAGTCGAACAAAAGGGTCAGTAGAAGCACTGTTTTAAGGACTGAATGAAATATGTTGTAGATGATAGAGAATAGTTAGATGAAAAATTGAAATTGGATCTTGAGGAATGTATTGACTTTTGTAAATAAAAAAAGGACTCGTTATAAGAATAATTCATATTATAAATATACATATATGTATTATGTATACGTTATAGGTAATATGAAATGCGAAAAAAATACGTGCGCCATGACGCATGTGCGCATTTATAGAGATTGTGTACGCACAATTCTTGTTCTAGCTAATACCAATATGATATAAAATTTAGTCAATTATGAAATTACACGAATGCAGATAAAAGAAAAAGGTTGCAGACAATTTTATGAACATTATTTATATATAAATATATAAATATACATGTATTTATATATTTATATAGAATTCAATACATACATATACGTATACCGTTTTTTAAGAACATGTGTCATGGTATATACAAGGATATTATAACATTCCTAAACCGCAAGTCGCCGCGTTAAGAAGAAAGTTACGCGTACTTGTATTCATACTGATTGATTTTTACATTTTCTTTTGATTTCTTATTTACAGCCATATCTACATCTATATTCTCTGCTCATAAGTAATCGCCACTTTTTGGCATTTACCTGTTAAAAAACTCGTTCACGTGTGTGTATTTTTCACGATCGATATACATATATGTATAATACACGGAATACGTACGTGTAAATATAATGAAGTATGCATGCATATGATAATATACGCATATATGGATTTATATTTTCACGCACGTAACTTGCAGTTTGCAACCATAAACTCGTAGATTCTTTCAGTAGAACTCGTTTGATATACTGTACAAGGCTACTCTATTGTTTACAGAATCAAACGAACTATCGAGCGTGCGTGAGGCATTGTTTCCTATGTAAGAATGAGCAAGTACAGGTAGTCAACTTTTAAAGCTTGTAAATCGAATGTAAAATTGATCGCCCATCAGTATGTATAATTTTATAGTAACTACATATATATATACATATACATACATATATACATATATATATATATATATATATATATATATATGTATCGGGATATGAATCACAACGACCATGTTGGTTGGTCGCTTTTTCGTTTTGTATATCAAACGATTATCTCGTTCGAATGAGAAACACAAAATAAAGGAAAAATGAAAATTCTGGGGTCAAATCCTTTGCACGCACTCACGCACTCGTCGACATCTCGACAAGATTTTCGCGCGTTAGACACGCACCTGACAAATTTAAACCACCCATAGGAAATGCATAGCAACGTAAA